TTGCCGGGCAAAATGAAAAAAAAAATGAGTGAAATATTGTGCCCCGACTTTCTATTTTTTGTGTGAAATGTCTGCCGATGAGATGGCTCTAGCTAGCCGCCTGATTTAAATGGCGGAAAAACTATTTTTCACTGTGCTATTAAAATCGATGGTGGTTATTTTTACCATAAACTTATAATTTTTAGATATTTTTTTTAAAAAACATTAGTAACGCCAATAAGATTGTAAATATTTATAAATCAACGAAACGCTACACGGGCGGATCGGCATCTTCGTAACTGGCTCAGTGGTTGATTTAGTACAAGTGTTGCATCTATGCGAAAACAATCAACCCGTACTCATGGTAGGCATAGCCGTATGTACCCAACGTCATACCTTCACCAAGGGTTTAACTATATATATATATATATATAATATCTACTATATAATAGAATATATATATATATTACATATATATTAATACATATAGTAATAATGATAACTAATACATATATATATATATATATATTATATATACATCTATATTATATATATATATATTACATATCTATACTATATATCTATATATCCGATATATATATATAATACAGAGTATATATATATATGATATATATAATATTATATACATATAGATCTTATATATATATATATATATATATATATATATATATATAATAATAACATATAGACTATATTACATTGATCTAATATAATATATATATATATATTAATATATATACCTAATATATATTCTATATATATATTAGATATATATATTACATATATCTCTATATAGACTATTAATGATATATATTAACATATATATTTATAATTATATACATATGATTATATCAGATACATATATAAGTTATATCCTATAATTGATATTATATCATTATATATATAAATATATAGATATATATATATATATTATATATATATAAGATATCTATAAATCCTAAATAAATATTATCTAATATATATAATATATTATAATATATATATAGTATATTATGATATAATATATATTAATTATCTATAGCATTAATATATATTATATATCTCTTATATCTTTATTATATATATTATTTATAATAATAATATATATTATATATATAATTATATATATTCTATATATTATATATATCATTATATATATATCATATATATATTATTCTAGATCATCTATAGATTAATATATATTCATAATATATTTTTTTAAAAAAATAAAATTATATATGAATATATATACTATAATCTATTATATATATATTATAGATATATATTTATATATCCATAATATACATATCTTATCGATATACTCAAGTATCCTATTATATATGTTCCAAATATACTATAGTAGATATATATATGAGAAGAGATTTAATATATAATATATATAACATATATACCAACAAACACACACATATCTATATTATATATATTATATTAGATATATATATATTATAGATATATAGTATTAAAAATACGCTATTATAACGATACATTTATACCTTACACATATAAATATCTATATATATAATATATCTGTTTATATATATGTATGATATAGATATATCTTCTAAATTATTTATAGCTATTGTATATAATATATAAATATATATTAGATCTATCTATCTCTCTATATTATATATATCTATATATATATAATTATATATATATATATTCTACATCTCCCTACGCTTCACCAATATACCTTTATCTATCTCGCTCATATCATCTCTATGTCCTTCCTCCTATCATCTCTATATGTCTCTCTATATCTCTCTATCTCTATATATATATCTCATCTCTATCTACTCCTCTCCCCTGCTTGTATCTCTCTCTATATATATACTCTATCTCTTCCTATATCTAATCTCTAGCTATAGATATAGCATATATGAGAGATATCTCTACAATCTAGTATACACATAATATTTTCTATCTATATCTCTATTTCTCCTCTATCATCTATCTATCTCTAAATATATATCTATATATCTTCTATATATCTCTATAATTATCTCCTATACCTTCTACATATCCCGTATACATATCCATCTATTCTGTCTCTCTCTCTCTAGCTATCTCACCCTATCATATCTAGATATCTCTATCTATATATCTATCATCTATATACTCATATAGCTCTCATACATATATATACATCACATATCTATATCCTATCTTATCTCTCTTCGATCTAGATATCTATAGTACATACTATATCTATCACATCTATATTCTACCTATCTCTCTCGAACCATATCTCTATACCCTAATATATCTACATATATAGATATCCATATATATATATACACTCTACTCTATCTCTCTATCTCGATCCTACATATCCATATCTATATCTCTACATATATTCATACTTTTTCAAACCAACCCACTCGCAACCTCTTCGAGTATCCTCTATGTATATCTATATTATATATAAGATGTATATCCAGATCTCTATGTATAATACCTTATCTATACCCTATCTATATCTCATCTATACTATATCTATCTCTATACTACTATCATCTGATCTCGATCATATGTAATATATATCTCTCTCTCTCGATATCTATATATAGCTATATATAGTCATATAATATCTCTATATATATACTATATATCTTCTCCTAGACCATATCGACCTGCTCTAATCTATCTCTCTCTATCTCTATCTATATATTATTACCCTCCCATATTCTCTCACAATATCATTTACCTCTGCCTATCCATTTATACATATACTTATATATATATATATATAACCCTCTATTTAATTAGCTTATCATCTATCTAGATATATATATATTCTACATATACATATATCCCCCCATATACCTTACATATCTGCATATACAATTTATCCTACCCGCTCTATCGCTACCTATCTATCTATCTTATAATAATATAGCATATATATATATCTATATCATATATATATCTGTAATGTAATTTTATGTATTTATATGTCTTATATATTTCTATTTACTGTATATCTCTCACTGTATCATATATGTAGATATATATGTCTCTATCTCTGTTAACTTATCTGTATCTATCTCTGTCTCTATATCTGTCTCTCCTCATATCTATATCTCTCTCTATCTATCTCTCTAATCTCTCTCTTATCCTATCTATATACATCTTTATCCTATATTTATCCTAATATCTATATATCTATTATATATCTCTAGTTTATCTATTTATCTATCCCTATTGAATATCTTTCTCTATCTATCTTTATATAGTTCTCATTATTATCTATCTTTCTATATATATATTTTATCTATCTCTCTTTTATCTATATATCTTTATTATCCTCCTCTTTCTATATCTATATTTATCTATATCTCTGTCTATATATCCTATTTATATATATATCTTACTCTATCTATTTCTCTATATCTCTTTATCCTATCTCTCTTTACTATCTCGCTCTTGATATCTATTATTATATATATATTCCCTTTCTCTCTTATATTTCTCTATAGCGCTTTATCTCTCTCTATTTCTCCTCTATATATTTTCTATATATATACTTTCCTATCTCTATCTTTATATATCTCTCTTTATCCGCTCTAATTTATCTCTCTATCTTTCTCTCTTCTATCTATATATATACGTATCCTATTATATCCCTATAATCTCCCTCCTATATCCCTCTATGTCTCTATCTTTTTCTCTAGACTCTCTATATATATATATCGTATAATACATGCTATACAATATATTCATATATATGTATGTTTATATATATATATGTATGTTTATATATATATATGTATGTTTATATATATATGTATGTTTATATATATATATATATATATATATATATATATATATATATATATATATATATATATATATTCATATTCATATTCATATTCATATTCATATTCATATTCATATTCATATTCATATTCATATTCATATTCATATTCATATTCATATTCATATTTATATATTTATATACATATTTATATACATATTTATATACATATTTATATACATATTTATATACATATTTATATACATATTTATATACATATTTATATACATATTTATATACATATTTATATACATATTTATATACATATTTATATACATATTTATATATATATAGATAAATATATAGATATTCTATATAGATATAGATATTCTATATAGATATAGATATTCTATATAGATATAGATATTTACATATATATTTATACATACTGTATATATATACATATATATATTACACATATTATTTATATCAGGGCTACTCAACTATTATGAGCAGAAGTCCAGTTAGACAAGTTCCAATATAAGCAGAGTTCGGATAAACATCTTACATGCAATCATGAAATTAAAACCACCTATCTATCCGAGTACTCCATATTATTCCCATACAATTTATATTCGTACCAGACTTCCTCTAATTATCCGACTCGTTTCTACAAAATATAAACCAAATGAGTGGATACAAAAAAATATTTAATTCTGTAGTTAAAATGTAACAAGACTTGGAATTTCTTTTTTTTTTTTAAACAATTGAAATGGAGAATCTCCACATAGAAAAAGATAAATATTTACTTTCTAAGACATTGCTACGTGAATAATAAAAACTATTTTTTCTAAACATAACATTAATTAATCAGAAAATAAAATAATTACTTTTTCAAATAGAAAAATCAAAATATATCTCTTGTTTATTGTTAAGAATTTTACAGTTCAAAAACAAGATGTGGAGTTTTCCTCTCAAACTAACAATTTGTAAACAGGTATTTATAATAAAAAAAAATTCTTTATATTCTTGCTCGTTTTGCATGGAAACCATTCTAAACTTATATCTAAGGCCCTGGGATCATTAGCAGGTTAAATACTTATGTACAATAGAGCCCTAATTTACCCCACAGTCAGTCTAGGAAATACACTTTGAAGAATCTATTGCCAGGACTTTCATTTTATTTAATCCTAGTTTTCTCCTCTTGGAGCCTGGGGGCCCCTACAACACTCAAA